GTCGTCTTCCAAGTAAACCGTCATGTACCAATTCAAATTTTACAATGAATTTGACGTTGTCTTCCAAAAAATTTGTCTTCTAGGGAAGTCCCCAACCAAGGGTTCCACTGTACTATTATTTTTGGATGACATTTTTTATGATATATTTTTTATGACATTTTTTATATGACTCACATCCCACTAGTGATCATTTTTTTTTTTTTAAACAATGTAACCCTTCAATGAGACCCTCTTTAAGGTTGACTCAGAAGAATAAGACATAGAATAACTGAAAAGTAAAGATAGGGTAATATTTTTTTTTTAGCAAAGCTCCACAAATGGCAGTGGAATTTAAATTGGTTACATGCTTTGTCTATTTATCCGTTACCTCACATCCATTTTGTTATGCCAGTTATATGCACTTATGTGATTATTGCTAGTTAACTGTAACTTAGTTAACTTCTGTAACTATAACTACTTATAAGTTAACTAAGTTATAAACCACAGTACTTATAAATTAATGTATAAATAAATTAGTCCCATACCAAACTAGTTAACTTTCCAGCTACAGAAAATGTCTTTCTGAAGATGAGGTCTCCATTCTTGGATATAATAATCCAGGTCAGGTTGCATGAGAAATTTATACAGTTTAATAACTACCTTCTTTTCCTTGAAATCAAAAGTTGTTTGATTATTCCTAGGATTTGGTTTGCTTTTTAAACTGCAGCTCTCTTGTGTTGAGCAACTTTCGGTGATTGGTGGATTCTGACTCCAAGGTCCTTTTACTTCATCAACCTGCAAGCTAATATAGTTTATTTGGTAGTTGCATTATGCATCGTTATGCTCCAAATGCAAAATATTGCATTTTTTTTTTATATTAGGAAGCATTTGCCAATCTTCATGCCATTTGTGAAGCTATGCCAAAAAAAATTAATTATCCTATCTTTACTTTTCAGTTGTCTTGAGTCTTATTCTTGAGTCAAGCTTAAAGATGGTCTCACTGTAGGGTTACATTGTTTAAAAAAAAATGATCACTAGTGAGATGGGAGTCATATAAAAAATGTCATCCAAAAATAATAGTACTGTACTTAGAGCAACTAAAATCAGGTATAATGTTCCCTGCATTACACTTCTTACACTGTAGTACTCGTTAAGCTATCCCTATCTAACATACGTTATCATTGCATAGGGTTTAACTGCTGCAAACTAACTCAAGCCCATCATCACCCAGAAAAAGAGCTCCAATCAGAACAATAACAAATTCTGTTAAAAGTCAGAACATAGCTCCTTGGTTTAAATCCCTAAACATGCGAAATATACTCCACTCATTCTCTTATATTAATAATAATAATAATAATAATAATTTATATAATAATAATAATAATAATATTAATAATAGGTAAAAACACATACAGCAGAATGAGTTACAAGCAGAATGTTGGATTAATAAATAGAGCTAGTATATGCTATGCTTAAAGCCACTAATACACACAGCGTTTCGGGCAAGATTGAGATTGTGCTATTTACACTTACAAAATCTTACTCCGAGATTCTAATCTTGATTTGAAACTCTTCCCTGATAGATGTAATAGAACCCATGGGTACCACAACAGAAGTATATATATCTCTGATATTCTTCAAGTCAAGCTAAATCTGTGTAAACACTCTGTGCAAGTAAAAGGACCCAGTCTGTGAAACTCGCCCCTAATGAATTAATTAGTTGTCCAACCTATACTTTATTCTAAAATAGAAAAAAAAGTATCTAATTTCATCCTCATAGTTTCCCACCTTGTGCTACCCCACTCTCCCAATATAGTACTTAGGACATGCAACTTTATCAGTACATATAATGTATTCTATCAATTTATAATGTAGATATTATGTTGAACTCAAATTCTGTTAAAATGTACCTATCATTATATATATTGGTTAGCTGAAGGACCTGCCTAAAATGCTGTGCATGTTAGTGGCTTTGCAAAAATGTAACACACGATCACCATTGTATTTACTTTCACAACCCGATGTACCTTATTGTATATAAAATAAATAAATGAATAAGCTATGAGTTGAACACAAAAGTGGGCTGTTGTACACAGACAAAACTTTATTTTGTGCTATTTTGTTGAGGGCATGAGAAAGACGGTAACAACTAAACCAAAACTTTCTTAGACCTGGTATAACATATATACACGGTGTACTAAATTATGCCTAAGATGACATATGTTAGGCCTAGGATTGCTTACTTAAGTCTAGGAAAATTTTGGTTAGGTTGCATAGTTCTAGTTTTTGGCATGCCTTTTGGAGTATTCCAATAATGTAAAATCAGATTTTAAGTACAGTACAACAATCCATTTTTTAAGTGCAACAATAGTTGCTATAAGTACAGTACTGTACTGCCATTTTTGGATTATGGGTTGGATTCACACAGAAATCACACTAGCGTGATATATCAAATGAATAAATCCACAAGGGATTTTTTCTTATATTCTTATTCTTCTAATTCTTATACCATGTCATGGCGCAGTCGATTAAGGTGCATCTGGGATCATCCTGGACGTAAGTTTGAACCCTCATCACAGCCCTTGTGGATTTATTCATGGGTTGGATTCATTGAGGTGTGTAGCATGTATATATGTAGCTCTTTAAATGGTGTTTGATTTCTTTTAAGATGTTGAGATCAGAGGAAGCTTAGGTATTCAAATTCCAATTTTTATTCAGGTAAAAGTACATACATAGAAGATGAGTTACAAACATTAAGTTGGATTTACAGATAGAACTAGTACATACAATACCTAAAGCCACTAATACGCATAGCAAATATAGTACGTAGTTCATAAAGTTTTTCATTATACTCTATTTAATTTAAGGCTTTAATTAATTTTCTCTTACAGGTCTTTATCACTGTATAGTGAATCAACCTTTCATCTAAAATGCTGACAGCTCACAGCAAGATTGTTACGGGTCCTCTAAAACAGGTATGATTGTAGCTGAAAATAGAACTAGAGTAGTTGTCTAATAATTTTTTCTAAGTAAAATGGGGCATTGAAACTACAGTACTGTACATGTATTTTAAAATATTTTTGTTACCAAATGTAATACAGTACTAGGATATTTGACAAAAATTTTGACATTTTGAAAGTGATCAAATTTTTTTTCGTTCCGAGAGAGCATCCTTAGCACAGTACAGTAGTTCCCTCATAGCTATGCAGTAATGCAATTTGATGTTCTTGGACCCAAAAGGTCACTCTTGCTGCTTCTGTCATTCTCTTTTGTTCGCAAGTCCTTTCACCATTGGGTGTGTCCTGTTTGTCAGCATTGGACTTAAGTGCAAGTTGAGTTATTCTCTTGGGCATTAGCTAATCAAGACATTGAGCATCTGCCTGTTCCAACCTCACTCCTACCTTCTCGGCTGCCTCTGTCTTTGCTGTCAAATGACCAGCTTGACCAACGTTTGTTTAATATGTGCCTCTAAATAGCTTCAGGTGCCAATGAATCTGGGACTGCTATGCCTGGGTCTGTAATCAAATCAAATGAATATTCAGGTAAAAGTACATAAATACAAGACGAGTTATAAACATAATGTTGGATTTCTAGAAAGAGACAGTACATATAATGCCTAAGGCCACTAATACGCACAGCATTTTGGGCAAGGTGTGGGAAAAAACACTTAGATTAAAACTTAATACTAATTGAGATCAAAGCTGCTTGCTCGGTGTCCATACCTGAGGCGTTTTCTGTGGCTCCACCTCTTTCAGCTGCTCTGACCGGTCCGGTACATGGCTGGTTCAGTCTTCTCCGCTCTTCGCGTCTAGTTCTTTTGTTGCAGGTTACTCCCCATTTGTTTGGTGATCAGGTGGCTTTGTTAAAGGTGTCCCACCTGAGACTTCGTTTCAGCGACAGTTTGAAGTTTCCTGGCGTTCTTTCTACCATTCTCTCTCTCTCTCTCTCTTCGTCAGTTGTCATCTGTTTCTGATTGGGCTGTCTTGGCTCTTTCAGGACAGTCATTTAATGCCCACTACTGTTGTCTCGTATCTGTCGAGCAGCGCTGGCGGAGCTGCTGTTGCTTGCATTCGGGGTCAGCATCACTTCTGCCCTGTTCAGTAAGCTCTCTCGTGCTCTGTTTCACCTCTGGCCTGCTCATGCGAAGCCTGAGCCATCCTAGTCCTTAGATAGAGGCCTCTCCTATCTCTCTTCTCCTTGGTTCGTGATGGCCCTATTGGTTCAAGATTGTTTTTTTGAGGATCTCTTTCTGTTGGCATTGGCCTCTGGGGGTCAAGTCGGTGAACTTCATGCTCTCCACCGGCGCAGGGGTTTCTACTCCTTCAGTCTTGGAAGTCAGTTTGTTCAGATGCAGCTTTGTCCTTTTCTGGCGAGAATGAGATGACTGCTTTTTGGAGGGGTCCTTGGGTCACTGATGCTTGCTTGGTCAGGCCGCGGGTACATTGTGTGTTTCCAGTTGCGGCACTTCGCCGTTGCCTGTGCGCCTCTACTTCTGTGGCCGGGGATGCGCTTTTGGTTGATCTTTGTTTTTCCTTGTTCCCTGTTCCAAGGCTCGGGTCTTCAAGGTCGTCCTCAGGGTTCTTAACTCTAACCAGCGTGCAGTCTATCCGACGTGCCCATGACATTCGGATGTCTGTTGCTTTGGCTGCCATCTTCGGCGACATGTCTTTGCCTGTTATTTGGGTGCGGGGATTTTGGAGGTTGTACAGGATCCTGGCTATGCGATATTTGGTTCACATTCCTGGTCCTGGGCATTTGTGTGTTGCTTTGGGTCTCAGGTTGCAGCAGTTGTCTTGCTTTCGAGTTGAGGTGCACGTGGCAGCCACCTCTCGGGTGTATCCCTCTTACTTATCCCTGGTTATGGAGCTCCAGGGAGCCGAAGGGGCTCCCCACCGAAAACCAGCTTTGAATGTAATGAAACACCATTTTTCTGGGCGAGTCCCGAAGGCTCCCTGGCACCCTGCCTCCCACTGGTCGGCAGTTTTTGCTTTGTTTTGATGCTTAGCCTCTGAACTGAAGTTTCTGGGTAGCTGGCTCGGGTGTGGGGGGGGTGCAGGTCTCCCCCGCTCATGGTGTGATGTTTTCTTGTTTCTTTGGGAATTGAGGGAGTTCTACCTCTCTGTTCAGCTTTCGTACCTTGTGGGGGGTCTGTTTTATTACGCCTAACTTTCTGGGTGCCTAACCCCGGTCGATGGCAGATAAGGTAAACCCCAACCATGGGGGTTTTCCAGGGCCATTGCTCCCTGTACCTCTGAGGGGGCCAGGTTCTGGCTCGTTGTCCCTGGTAGGCAGAACTCCATTGACTAAAGCCCTGGTCTAATGTATCGCATATTAGCCCAAGAGCTCCAGGAAGCTTCCGGGGCTTACCCAGAAAATTGCATTTCATTACATTCAGCACTCGTTTTTTGGAGTGCTCGTACTTGATACATGGATCTATTTATGTTTGCATTGAATTATTGGCTTTAAAACTGTCACAACATTTTCGGATTGCGAGGATTTTTCATGGTGGATGCATTTTACCTGGACTGTGGATGGTTTTCTTATCTTTAACTTGTCCCATCTGTCCAACTTTATTTTCTTGTATTGGCCAGGATTGAGAAATTTGCAGGCCCAGTCCTCCTTATTCTGAAATGCCCAGTTCAGCCCTGGTTTCCTGCTCTTCTAGGACATTGTGCTAATGATCTCCCTTTCCAGAATTTCCAATTTCCATTGCTCCAGTTGCCATTGACATAAAGGGATGGCAAACCACATTGTATGTACCCATTTATTGGAGGTTTCCTGTTCTTATGTGGTGCAGTCAGTTTTTTGTGGATATTTACCAATGAGTCACTTTCTTTTCTGTGTTTATAATGACCTCTGGTTTGTCTGCTGCTGCAGCCTCTGTTGAGATACATGTGTTTGCACTGCCCCTACAGGATGTGGTTGCAGGCTTCATTGCAGCTCTTTGTGCTTGTGAGCTTGATGTTTAGGCTTATCTTCAAGAGTCCACTTGGTTGTTCTTCCTCTTATTTCCTGCTCCATGTTCTCCATGAATTCCTAATTACATACAATGGTTTTCTTTACTGAAACTAATAGGTAAATCATAAGCTTTACAATTAACCTGAAGGGTAAACAACATGGCCGCAGCCGCCATGTTAGAGGCTAAGCTATTACTTCCCATTAGTTCAAACTTACACTGGGAAGCTCAACAAGTTGGCCTTAATCCGCCATTAAAACCATTCAACACTACATTAAGAATATATGGATGCTTCATCTTACAACATTTATATAGTAATGTAATAATAATATATTATAAGGCAACGCCTAACATTTTTATTACTCTGAATTCTACTTCTACTTATAATAGAAAGTTACGAGTTCGTTATTCTTTCAGCTGGAAATAACGGATTCGTAACAGGGAGTCAGCAGCATTTTATGTTTCTCTGTGACTGCTTTGCCTGGCAATTTAGCCACTGTCTAAAGTTCTGATTCTTGCTTCAGTTTGGATGGGGTAGGTGTTCTGCAGTATCAGTCAGTCAGGTACTTGTGAGATTTTGTGTACTTTGCAGCTCTGTATCATGACATTTTTTGGAACCCGCTATGATCTGGGAGTCATTGTGGTTCATCCTTCCAGCCCCGTCATTACTTGCTGGTGCCGACTTGGTGGGACTCCTGAGCACTTTGTCCTTGTCCAAGGTTTATCAGGTGGCACAGTGTCTTTTGGCTTACATCCCAGGATTTCTGGAGTGTCTATTGGCATATCCTCTTCCTTCTTAAGTTCAGGAATCAATTGAGGTGTTGTGTAAGGTATGTCTTGTACCATTTTTGGGCTCTGCCATCTTGGTCTTTCCCTGGTCCCCAGCTTTTTCCCAGGCGGCCTTGTATGGTTCTGCAACTTTTTGTCTTCAGCGGATCTGCATTCTGGACTGCCATAATGACTTGCTGCTGGCCAGGAATCTAGTTCTTTTTCCAGTTGGCTCACTCTGGATTTTTGGGAGCCTGGAGAATGTCCCATTTGGTGCCTCCTCAGAGTCTGACTGACCTGGGCCTGGATGTGAATGTTGGCCTGGGCCTGGATGCAGATGTTGGCCTGGATGTGGATGTTGGCCTGGGCCTGGATGTGGATGTTGGCCTGGGCCTGGATGTGGATGTTGGCCTGGGCCTGGATGTGGATGTTGGTCGGGGCCTGGGCCTGGACCTGGACCTGGACCTGCGCATGGGCCTGAATGTGGACATTGGCCTGGGCCTGAATGTGGACGTTAGCCTGGGCCTGGGCTTAGTTAAGATTGCCAGGTTTACCAACTTATTTTTGTCCTTTGTTCAACACTGTTGCAGCTGTACCTTAGGCCTCTGGCTGTTTCTAGGGTGGCTTTTTCTTTTTCTTTGGAACCTTGTACATCTTTTGGGTGGCCAAACCTTTACCAGCCTGGTGTTCTCACTGGGAAAAGCCCTCCACCACTGGCTGGCTGGTGAAGGTTTTTTTTTTTTAATTTTCTCTGGCAGTGTTCTGTCACTTCTCTTAAGGTAGTGTGGTTTGTGCACACACCATTTTCATTTCTGTAGTGTGTATCTCTTCCACAGGCTTTATTCGGAATGTCTGAAAAGTGAGGCCTCAATGTCCTCCATGTCTCTGTTGTTGAACTCTGTCTGTACCCTTGCTTTTTTATTCATAGGGCTTAACATTCCACATAGTTCACGTTCAAGATTGTCAAATGTGCTTGTGGGCTGCTCTGTCATTTGTCTGATTTCAACAGAATACAAAGTGCACAGACCCTCCTTTCAGCAAATGTGTGCAACATTTGGTCAAATGCATGTGTGTACCTTTTTATCATCACTGATAAAATCACTGATACACTAAACTAAATACACATCATAAATACACATCACTAAAACATCACTGATAGGGGCCTCGTAGCCTGGTGGATAGCGCGCAGGACTCGTAATTCTGTGGCGCGGGTTCGATTCCCGCACGAGGCAGAAACAAATGGGCAAAGTTTCTTTCACCCTAAGTGCTCCTGTTACCTAGCAGTAAATAGGTACCTGGGAGTTAGTCAGCTGTCACGGGCTGCTTCCTGGGGTGTGTGTGTGTGTGTGTGGTGTGGAGAAAAAAAAAAAAAGGTAGTTAGTAAACAGTTGAGAGGCGGGCCGAAAGAGCAAAGCTCAACCCCCGCAAAAACACAACTAGTAAACACTGAATGTGATCCTTTGTCATTAGATGCCTTCCAGGTGGACTGGAACAGGTGGATGTTCATCAGCCCATTTTTTTCAATTCAGTTGTTGCTCTGTGTTGTCGAACCTGGAGAGCTTTTGCAGGACTTGTCATTCTGTTGGGTTCCGAATAATCAGGCTAGCACTGAGTCTCAACTGTCCTTTCTCAATGACCTGCCCTGATTTCATTCATGGACATTAATCTTTCCCAGACATTTGGCGGTCATTTATGGTTTTCCTCTCTCCTTCAATCTCTACATCTAGAATTTATCAATATAATTTATCACCTGTATTAAATTGTAGTTGCAGAATTTTTGGTGTTGCACCTCTGGGTTTCTCCTAGTCACCCATAATATGTTATCTGGAGGTCATTTAAATTATTTTTCTTCTATGTATCCTCCTTTTCTGTGTGTTGGTTATGTCCTATTTGTTGTGGTTATTTCTGGACAATCACCTTGTGCCCAATTTGAAACTGTTCTTTTTAAAGAGTCGGTGCTCTCCAAACATCTTCTAAGTTTTGATTTGGACCACTCCAAGCCGCTTCTTATTTTTCAAGCATGGTTAAGCATTTTTTCCCATCTCTCAGGCTTTTTTTCCTTGACACAATTTTAGTCCTTTGATGTTATGAATTATGTTTTTCCAGTTTTAGATGTTGCTACCATTAGACGATGTCTTGTCTTGGTGTCTGAAAATCAGGTGGAAGAGGGGGTGTTGAACCTTTGTTCTTTACTCTTTGTCAGCAAACATATTCCTTGTTCTCTCGGCCGAGGGTTTCACTATCATTGATGTGGCCAAAATAAGGCTCCTTCTTTTTGTACCAAATGAACCACTTTACCACAACCTCTTGTAGTGAGGTTGATCATTTGGCCTTTCATTTTCTATGCTCTCTGCTCTGTAGCGGAGGTTTATTATAGTAAGGCTATTTGGGCATGCCATTGTTCTACACTCTTAGCCTTTGAGCCCTCTTCCATATACAATGATTTGTCTGTCTCAAATAATTTGGCAAGTAGTTAAGCTGAGTCAATCATACCTTATTCTTGTGCAAATGCCTTGAGAAAGCATGCAGCTATATCCTCCTCTTTCTCAGCCACTCTCTTGGCTGATCTTAGGACCTGGGGGATTTTGGAGTTAAAAAAAAAGTGATGCCTTCTTTACATTACATGCCTGACATCCCAGGTCTTTATCAGAGATGAGCTGCCGAGGAGCAACCTTTGCACAATTCCGTCCTCTGAAATCCCCTCGGGCTCCACCCACTCTATAATTTGCTTGCTTCTCAGGAAAGTGTCCAGTACCTTTGTTCTACATACTAGTACAGCAGTGTGCAGTACCATGAGGAGATGGCTAGGGGGTGCTACCTAGTGGAGCTTCCTCAGAAACACACCAAGTGTAATTAAACATCCCTTTCTGAACTGCAATTCAATCAGCCTTTTAATTCTTGCCTTACCTGAGAGTAGGGTAGGCTAGGCTTAAGAGGATGTAACTGCTTGTCCCGACCCTGGGATCTGGTAGGACTGCTGCCTGGTGGTGTGGCTGGCATAATTGGTGAACAAAGTCCATTACTTCAGAAGGACTTTTGATTGATGATCAAGTTGCTAAGAGTCATTTGCAGGGAGTGGATAGAAGGGTTTGTGTGTCATAGTGTGCATTTCCTTCAGCCAGATATGACACTGATCTCTCCCATGAACTCCCAGCCCTATTTTTAATGAGGCATTAAAACTTACAAGGTTACTTTTCTATTGGGCTAATAGTTGCTCAAAGCCTAGTGCACTCCTTGGACTGGTTTTGTCCAGAGCATATGGCTAAGGACCCTACTGAAGTGCTATTTAATTTCATTTGATCCTATATTTTGTTAAACAAGGTTGTCACATTTTATGTTGTGATAACTGGTAGTTATAATATTAGTTATATAAATTATAACTGGTACTATTATATAACTTTAATAGGAGTTATAGAAAGAGCAATTTTTATATTTAATAAACAAAATGTGTGGTGAAATATAAATATCCTGCCATATTGTTAAATTAAGAAAAATTGAGTACTCATGATCCAATTAAATTGTCCACAGGTGATAGAGGTTACAAAAGACAGTGTGATACGAAGGCTTCACACAACCTCTATGTAAGTATAATAATAATAAATTATGTAGTAGTATAATAATGTATGATGAATGTGGGAGTGAGGTCAGTGAGGTGAATGTGGGGAAGGAATGATGTGAAGGAAGATGTGGTTAGTGAAGTGAAGGTGAAAGAGCTGAAGGAAGGGATGTGGTCAGTAAACTTGCAAGGATGAAGTCAGTGAGGTGAAGGTGGGGTGAGGTCAGTAAAGAAAATATTGGAGATAACCTCATTTCTCTCGAGTTATCACAACGGCACGAGACCATGTGATAATAATGCGAGGACAGGAAGGAATACTCTTGGAGAATGACAAAAAAGTGTGGGATAGCATTAACAAGACCTTCCATGTTATCAAACCAGAGCCAGATTAATGTCCAAGTAGTTAAGGGTTGACAACAGACGACCAGAAACAACACTAGACAAAATTTAAGTTCTGTAGTAAAAAGAGGTAAAATGATTACTGGAGGAATTGGATGTAACAAAACCATTAGGAATAGACCATACTGTATATCATCATGGTTACTAAAGGAAACTGCAGAGATTTTGTGTTACCAATTAACTATAGTGTTCAACATTATACAGTAAGTACTAGAAATGGGAGAGCTACCAGAAATCTGGAAAATAATAAGTGTAATTCCAATATTCAAAACTGGGGACAAATATATGAAACACTAAACTGCAGACCAGTGTCATTAACACACATTCCATACAAGTCTAGAAAAAGTCACTAGGAAAAAATTGTAGAACATTTGGGGAGTAAATTTTATAGGCACAACATGGCTTCAGAGAGGGAAAATCATGCTTAAAAACTTGATTGAATTCTATTTCAGGGTCACCAAAATAAGACAAGAAGAAAGGATGGGTAGACTATCTTCCGAGACTACCAAAAAACTTTTCATAGTTTTCACGAGAGACTAATACGGCAGGATAGAGAGACAAGTGGGAATAACAGGAAAGGCACTGGACTGTGTATGGGAGTACTTGATGGAGAGGAAGCAAAGGATCATAAGAGATGATGTCAGGCTGGAGAGGAGTGGAAAGTAGTGTTCCACAGGGCTCTGTACTAGGACCATTGCTCATTGACTTATGTAAATAACCTCAGAGGGAGTGAACTCTTACTTGATGTTTACAGATGATGCAAAGTTAATGAGGAGAGTATATGACTGGATAGGACTGTATGGTGCTGCAAAGGAGAATTGGACAAACTTCAGGAGTAGGCAAATATTTGTCTGCTGAAATTCAATCCAAATAAGTGTAAAGTAATGAAAATGCCTAACTAAGATAAGAGACGTGTATTTAACTACACCATAAGGAGTAGCAGTTACAAGAAACAATTAGAAAAAACACATGAAAATAGACATAATCCTAACTTTATCACCAGAAGCTTGTGTGAACAGGATAACAGTATCAGCATATGGGAAGTTAGCAAACATGTGTCATTTAAAAATCTAAACAAGGAGGCTTTCAAGTCCATGCATACAGCCTATGTGAAACCACTTCTCGAGTATTCATCACCAGTATGGAACCCATACCTTGTGAAACATAAACAGAAACCTGAGAATGTTCAGAGTTTTGTAATTAGATTAGTACCAGAATTGAGGGGGCTTAGATGTAAGGAAATCTAGAGAGAGAACACTCACAGCCATAAAGGACAGGAAAAAAAGGGTGGGGGGGATATGATAACTGCATACAAGATTTTGATGGGAATAGACAGTGGACAAAAAGGGGTCATCAAATGAAGCTGGACATTAATTTAGTTGAAGAGATGTAAAAAAGTTCTTTCCTTGTATGGGTGGTTGGCAAGTGGAATGCATTGAAAGAAGTAGTTGTCAAAGTCAATTCCATCCACAACTTTAAAAAGAAATATGACAAAAACTTTAATATTGAGAGGGGTAATTAGCATGCCAGGTGTAAACAGCCAGGCATAAAAAACTAGACCTCACTTTCACCCCTCCCCCCTTCCCTGTAGTCACTGATAGGTTAGCACTGATAGGTAAGTACCATTCTGATGCTGTCATGAGATTGGTATTTAATCAGTGGCCTGAGTTCCTGTACAGTATTTTATTGTCTACTTCATAGTTAAATAAATATTTTATAATTTATCTAGTTTTATTTCAGTTGTAGCAGTACTCCCAGAATCCAAGATGAATATCAATACATTCAGAGGTCAAAGATACCGACTATGCATTTTCAGAAGTCCTTGTTACGACTACCTATTCCAGGTGAGTTATGAATTTTTATAATTATTATTATTTATTATTATTATTATGTGTATTATTTATTATTATTATTATTATTATTATTATTATTATGATTTGTAAACCTGTAGTTTGATGTACCACATTAGGATTATGGGGGCAGGCAGCCCTAATTTAATGCCCAGGCCACCAAAGCATGATCGGGAGAGAGCTTAAACTGCTGCAACTGAGCAATTGCTCAAAAAAAGAAGTGCTGATATTTTATTCTTCTGTAATACTGTACACTGATTAGAATGACAGGATAGGAAGATTACTGGGTGGTTGCACAAAGCAGTACCAGTCCAAGTGTATAGCTGTGAAACATGGATGTTGCACGAACTTGAAATGTTGAGAATAATATTACTGTAGTAGCAGTGGATTATCTGAGAAGCAAGTGTGCTGTTTATATAGTACAACATATTGTTAAGAATGTAATAAAAAGAAATATAAAGATTGAGTAGAATATGATGGATGGTCAAGTTGAACTAATGGTAAATATTGTATAGGTAAATCATAGACAATTTTTACATTTTGTGTGCTGTTAATTCTTGGACAATAGTCCAAAAGCAGTACATCAAGTTAAATGCCGCACTTCCTCTCCACCACCCAATTTTCTGTGGGGTGCCACATTGGCTCCCTGAAGCATATTAGTTTGGGTTCATCAGTCACAGGAGTCCTTATGCCTACAGGGGACCACGAGTCAGAACCTGGTCCCCCTCATAGAGGCGCAGGGAGCAATGGCCTATGAGCACTTTACGTATAAATTGTCATAATTGCCATAGACTGGTGAAGGACCCAGAAAGGTATGCGAATCAAAACAGACCACTGTCTGGTTAACCTGTGCAATCTACATGTGAAAAGATCAAAATAACTCCCCTAGAAAGAAGCCCATCACGCAACACTTCATGCATCTAGCACTCAGGCTCAGCATTACACCCCCCATCGTATGGAGGGAGGGAGAAGCAGCAGCCCACCACTGCAGTTCTTGAACTGATGTACTGGTGGTCACTTCAGTCACCTCTGACCTCAAGTTCCTGTTCTGGATTTTTGCCGTGTGTGGCTGTTGCAGCTATGTGTGGTGTGGTGGCCAGGTGTTTTAGAGTACAGGAGCAGCATGCTCCTTGGGTGACCTTTCCTAGATGCTCCGTGAGTACTCCGTAATGCAGTCAGAGCTAGTCACAGTCGCAACCAGTCAGTGGCAGCCATTGTTAAGTCACAGTCAGTCAGGCATTCAGTCACAATAACAAGTCAGTCAGTCATAACCCGTCAAAGGCAGTTAGGAATTCACAGTTGTGGTAGTAATCAGTCACAGTTTATAAACAACATGAGTCTGATGTTTACAGAACACCAATGTTATGTTCTCTCACAAACCCAATGTATGTTCTTTTATAATGAGGCAGGCAGTCAGGGCAGTCAGTCAGTCAGGGCAGTCAGTCAGTCAGGGCAGTCAGTCAGGGCAGTCAGTCAGTCAGGGCAGTCAGTCAGTCAGTCAGTCAGGGCAGTCAGTCAGTCAGTCAGTCAGGGCAGTCAGTCAGTCAGTCAGGGCAGTCAGTCAGTCAGTCAGGGCAGTCAGTTAGTCAGTTAGTCAGTCAGGGCAGGCAGTCAGTCAGTCAGTCAGGGCAGTCAGTCAGTCAGGGCAGTCAGTCAGTCACTCAGTCAGTCAGTCAGGGCAGTCTGCCTCCGAGGCCACCATCTGGTAGGATGGTAGCCGAGAAGCTGAACCTGGAGGGGTGGGGGATATTTCTGGGAGGGTCTGGTGTGGGGGATTGGGATGGGGGAGCTGAGGGGATGTGGTGTGACCACAGCCAGTCTGTGATAGTCCACCTGCCCGTCCGCGTGCTCAGACCCACCCAAACCCGCCTACCCACCCGAACCCACCCAAGCCCACCTACCAACCCGAACCCACCCAAGCCCACCTACCCGCCCGAACCCACCCAAGCCCACCTACCCACCCGAACCCACCCAAGCCCGCCTAACCACCCGAACCCACCCAAGCCCGCCTAACCACCCGAACCTAACCAAGCCCGCCTAACCACCCGAACCCACCCAAGCCCGCCTAACCACCCGAACCCACCCAAGCCCGCCTAACCACCCGAACCCACCCAAGCCCACCTACCTGCGGGAATTTGTGCAAAAAGCTGATTTGTGATGGTTAGTATATAATGAATGTGTTTGGTTTATTTTCAGATTTGGACAAGACATGTACTAGATATTTACGATCACAGAAAGCATTATTAACGCCTGAAGAGTACAGTGTGACTGAACGTGCAGTTGCCCAGTTCAAAGAAGGACCTGGGAGAGATTTACATGCACAACTGAAACAAAAAGATAAGGTTATTTTCATTATTATTTTGGTTTTATTGTTCATTATTCATTGTACATTATTGTTCTGCACAGCTTTGGAAAGTTGGCCATATTGGGAAACACATGGCTCTTATATAAATGTAACTTAAGAATCATCTGAATTATGAACCTATTGGCTACACTAAGGAATGTAGATATGTTGTGACACTTCCATAAATACATTTCATGAGCAGGAGTGATGACCTTCTCTCTACAAGATCTGGGAGTAACTGGCACACAGACTTCTGCCACTGGTCAATGGCAGACTAGTTGTATAGTCAGGCATTGTACATCCTGAGATTTATTTACATATCTGAGTAGCTAGAGCTGAATAGATCTTGAACCTAGCCATAATCATCTTCACAACAGACCAGCACTAAAAGAACTTGTCTCCCCATCTTTTTCCAGTAGTACTAATAGTATGAATGAAAAGAGAAGATGTTCTATAAAATGTACATACATACCCACAGAAATACTGTACTAACCAAGTTGGCGTCTTGAGTTGTGACGTGCCAAGTGTCGAGACACCCAATATTCAGATAAATGTATTTATTCAGATATACAGATACAGATCCATACAGATACTGTATGTATTCAGCCAGTATTCAGATAAATGGCTATTGTGTGAAATGGCATTTAGACCAATAGCTAAATAGCATTTTGAGCATAGTGGTATAAACATATGACTTATGTTACAATACTGTATAACTGGAATTTAGGAAACTATTGTTAAACTTTTTGTAATATTCACTGTAAAATATAATCTTGTATCAGATCACATGTTCATGTCATGTCATGCCTTATGGTCAAAATGATGATGTCCAAATGCTGGATCATATTATAGGCTGTACAGTGAATACAATCCCTAACACTTGTAATGAAATTCAGTATTTGACTGAATGATTGTGTTGGTGGTTATATCACCCCATGTTTTAGGAGTTCTGCCAATCTAAACATGTATACCAATAGCAAGTGAATGATGTAAGGAATTCAGATTATGGCTAGAAGCTGGAATTTAACCTATTAAGAGCACAATTATTCCAGCTAGGTGCATGTCAGATGTCATATGCACAATTCATTTTGTTTATTAAATGCTGTGTAGTTCAAATCATTAAAAATTCAGCAAACCTAAATATTTAAAACAAACTCCATACATTTACTTTGATATACAGAATTTCTTATTAATTAATCCTCAAAGTGTGGTCATGATCATCATCATCATCATCATCATATGTTGATTGCCTTCCAAATTGGTGTTTTATTGGGGTAATAAGCAGAAGAGCTATCAGTACAATCAATTGGAAAATATTCTTGATCACGTGAAAAGATCACGAGTTTTAATTAATTTGTTTCCTCTTATTCCAACCCAACCATCCCCTCTCTTACTTCGCCTTCCTTTCTTTTTTTACCTCAATTATTTTTGAGTAAGCGTGACAGTCTGGGTTTTCAGAAACTTAGGTGGTGCCACTTAAGGGTCAGACTAACTCGATGGCCGACTCTGGTTGTTACCTTTCCTTTAACCCACTGTGGTTAGCGTCATGTTGGTGACAGCAATTGATGATGTCAATGAGCACCATATATGACCCAGGAAGTTATTTCTGAAGGTGTGTATTATGTTTGTAGGATTTTCCAGCAGCTTTCACTATTACAGTATATAGTTACCCATTGTCAGGGCCTGGAAACCTGCCAGGCTTAGTGAGGTTTCCCTAGACCAACTACTGACCTTTTCCAGGATGCAACCACAATGGTTGTCGAACTCCCAGGCACCTGTTTACTGCTAGGTGAAAAGAAACCTCAGATAAAAGGAAATTTGACAAACCAGCACAGGATGGAAACTATTTCCTATGGCATCAGTACTTATTTCAGTTATTAATTGACAGTATTCTTATGAATGGCGCAGACAGAATATAACATAAGTCAGCAACAATTTGAAACAGTACTAAACATTTTTATTTTCACATGGTCTAAGGGTATTGGTTGAGCTGGCCTGCTATATAGTGTAGCAATTTAACATATATTTTATTTAAACTTTGAACAATACAATACTGTAATAGATTAATAACGATTAGCACGGCTAGGAGATGTTATACAGTAGTGTATATCATATGTTCACATAATTAATGCACAACTTGTATCAACAGGCAAACAAACACACAAGCTATATCTCGGGACCATGGTTTGATATGTATCTTAGTGATCGTGTCCCTGTTTTGCTGAACTACAACCCTTTCTTGGCTTTTCATCCTGAGGAGCGACCGGGGTATTCTGATCCAGTCGTACGTGCTACAAACATACTAGTGTCATCTCTAAGGTTGGTTCGTTATATATGATAATATGGCCATTGGTGTGAAATATTGCTATTAATGTCACACATGTTAATGCTAATCCATAGTCAGTGAATGTGAAGAATGCATTATGGCAAGATGAACAGATATGATTAAAAAAAAACATTCTATATTAATATAGCAGTTTTCATATGTAAAGTGTAGTCAGTTTTCTTTTATCACACAAGGGTAATGGGATTCAGTTTACCCAGTGGGATTTTACTTTCTTGAGTGAATAACATCACGTAAAATCTTCTCTAGATGTCTTACTCATTTTCAATTGTTTGGCTTTTAAAAAGAGCACTTGAAACATTTGTTGCAATTTTCCTTATTTTGCATCTCATCTGCACTTACAATTGATATACATTAAGTAATCCAAAAGGTATTCTCACTCGTCATAATCATGTTCAAACTGCTATTTTGTGTGGCAACTTACGTTGTACTGTATATGCAGTAGAACTTAACGTGTATCATGTGTAACAAAAATTTGGATTTTGAAATACTGTACAGTAAATGTGAAAAGCCTCTTTATGAGCAATACACTTTGGTTCTGTCTGAGGAAAGATCCATGAGGGTTAGGCAGGGTCAGGAACAGTAAAGCAGGTTGACATTCTGCACTGGCATAACTGGAGAACATTCACAGTCCAGTCCAAAGTGACCTACAGAAAATGAATTCATAAGAACTGTAACTCCCTTCAAATCCTCCTTGGCACTTTTAAGTAGCCATAAAAACATTTTTTTGCTAACAGTTGGCCCACAAACCACCGCTGCCAACTGCTGCCAGGTGGCAACACCAAAACCTAACAGGATTCTTGAACCTGAGCCACTCCCATATACTACTTCACTTCATGGTGCCATCAACACAAAACACACTGCACATAGTAAAAGTGGGGACACAATAGTGGGGGGAAGGAATAGTAACAACCAAGTATTTTTCACAGAAAGGAGCCTTTTCTGTGGGGAGCCCCTCTGGCTCCCTGGACTGATATATGCTATATTAGTCTGGGGCATCAGTCAATTGGAGTTCTGCCTACCAGAGACCACGGGCCAGAACCTGGCCCCCTCGGAGAGGTACATGGAGCAATGGCCTATGGAAACCCCCATGTGTTTGGGAGCATTCCATGTCTGCCATAGACCAGGGTTAGGCACCCAGAAAGGTAGGCATAACAAAACAAACCCTCACCTGGTAAGAAATTGCAACCGAAGACCAAACGGAGAAAGAGAACTCTCCCAAGAACATAAGGAAACAGGCATACGTCTTTCACAGCCGCTGCTCTGCTTGTCCGTGCCGCCCTCCCCTCCCCAGGAGGAGGAGGGGGAGCCCCGAACTCCCCGCACCGACTACTCACACCTCCAGTTTGGAGGCCGAGTATTAAAAACAAAATGCAAACCGCCAACTGGAGGGGGCCAGAGAGCCTCCAGGGCTCGCCCAGAAAATGATGTTTCGTTACATTCAACGCTGGTGTTGTGGGGGGGGTTGAAGTCTGCTCTTTCGGTCTGCCTCTGAACTGTCAATCAATCAACTGTTACTAACTACTAAGTTACTAACTGTTAAGAATTTGTGGTACGGTACTTGGTATGTCATCAGTGAACCAGTGCCATAAGCTTAGGAGAGCTCCTGTGATGCTGATCTTATCTGATCTTATCATGTGAAATATAATTGATGAATTTATTGTTTAAATTGTCTTTAACTTTGTTCCCTAGAGCTTTTTGAGTTGAGATGAGAGAGCCTCTGCAGTTACTGGTTTCATGATTTCAATGAGTACATGTTTAGAGTTGATACATGCTAATAACATCTTTTGGTACAGACAAGTTCCATTCCTTGTTTTGTATGTACTGACCAGAATGGATGGTGGCAGCCCTTCTACTATTTACGTTTCTACTTCTACCTATCTACTCCTCTCCCTCCACCCCTCTCCAAACTCTCCCTAAAACTGACGACCCTCCTCGCTCCTCCCACCTCTCTACCTCTCTCACCCCAAACCCTCACTAATTACTTCATTATTCATCTCTTTCCTTTCTCTTGTACGTTTGTGGCAGTGAATTGTGCTAGAGTTTCTCTCTAGAGTTACGAGTAGCTGATAAAGTTACAATGCCTTGTAGTTGTAGCACCTAGGTAGTCAAATACCTAGGTTACAAGGTGTTGAACTGGAGAAGTTTCAGTAGGAGCTCTGGTTGGGGAACTCTAGAATAGTTAGCTAACTGAGGGCGGGATAACGGACTAAAGAGAACTGTTTCCCCCACCCTCGTTAGTTAACTGGGGGGTGGAATAATGGACTAAACAGAGCTTCCCCCTCCCCCCCTTGTAAATGTCATTCAGAAAGAGGCTTGTCTTTACATTCAGTATTGTATTTTTATATATATGTACAGTCCTATAGCTGTAAATGTTTCATTGCTTTTAGTATTAAAGTGTTGGTAATCCTCAAGGATGTTTAGATTTGATGTGATTAATATGATTCAACAGGTACATGCGAACTCTTCGGGATGGTCTCTTAGAGCCAGTTGTTTATCATCTTAACCCTTCAAAAAGTGATAATCAAAGGTTCTGGGAAATTATGAAATGGATGCCTTCTTCTGTTGCTTCATATGCAGCTTATGCTTTAAAGGTGAGGAAAACTTTTAATTTTTCTGAGTTGAGACTACTAAGAAAACTGAATAGTTTCTGGAGTATACAAATTACCTAATAATGGAGCTTTGAAAATCCAGACAACAGGAAACCTGAAACTCCTAAAACCTGAGACATTCAAAATATTAAATTATTTCAAAAGTTTGCAAAATTTATAAAAGTTGGGAAACTCAATATTGGATCACTGTTATAACAATGTAATTCATATTGATCTGACATTAGCTCAGTGTCAGTTGTGCTGATATAATGTTACTGTGGCTGATTTAGCATCATATCACTGTCAATAACATTGGCTAGTGTCAACATAAAAAATTTAACAAATTCACAAGTTCATATCTTCGGTGGCCTTAAACATTCCACATTTTTATTAAGGCTCAAATGTATTAGATAAAGTAATAGATATTAGATAAAGCCACTTGTAACAAATAAAACTATAGTGCCTACAGAGCTGCAGTTTATCAGGATCTCTTAAAATATAATAGAAAATGTTGAAATATAGTATATATCTAAATGGGTTTTATACAAAATTTAGAACTTTTCCATACAGCAATGTATTGATGACCCTCGGTAGCTTGCTAAAACTTATCAGCACTGACATTACAGAGGTGCACTCAAAAATCAGGCTTTTGAGGTTTTCTTGGCCTTTTGGGAGAAAGGGTTTGGTTCTCTTAGAGAGGTGAAGGGAACATTTGGGGATCAAATATTAACCCACATATGAGGTAAACTGCTCAAAGTCAAACAACAAAATAAACATCAACATTTTTATGAGAAAAGAATGACAAGGGCAAATATACCTGCCCTAATTCTCCAAGGCACCACCAGGTGGCAGCCTAGATCCCCTTGGGTCCCAGCCGATGACCCTCTTCATTGTCTTGCCTGATTCATTAGCCGATTGCTCCAGTGTGTGGTTCCTGTGCTTTCGGCACCACTGCTGCATGGCCAGTTTTGGTGTTCACCTAGCAGTCGGCAAGATTTTTCCCACCAGCCCCTTGGTGGTACACCCTGGTGACGGTGTCGGGGGAAGGATGTTTATATGACCACCTTGAGCACACCATGTCATGAGATTCCTGGGTGTCTTGTATGACATCACAGGGCCTTTGGTGGGCTTGTTCCTTTCCTTCGCCATCCCTCTGGTGTCTCAAGGGTCCACTCAGTTATCTTTTCTCCTCCTATTTGTCATTTGTGCCTTGTTAAAGAAGAATGCTTGCTGTGACCTCTTCCTTGTTGAGGGGTGTCCAGCTTTTCTTTTCTTTTTCATTCCCATGGGAGATTCTTTGGATGCACATTTTATTCTGGATTTGTCCTTTCTCAGTGGTCTAAATCTATCCAGAATTCAAGTACAGTAGCCACTCGATTTAACGGCCTCTTTTATACCGATCTGCTGATAATGAGCGGTTTGGGAGACCGGTATCTGGAGCCTCATATACTGGTCTGGTGGTCGATATAACTGTAGGTCGGTATTGGGTTTGTTTTGGTATCAGCGGGCCCTCACATGGCAATAGGCCACTGACCTCCAAGGCATTGAGGGAGGGATGGGAGGCATTGAGGGAGGGATGGGAGGCATTGAGGGGGAGAGGCAGGGAGTGTGTTAGTGTTGGTGGTGGTGGTGAGGGAGGCAGTGATTGATGGAGGGAGGCATTGAGGGGGAGAGTGTTGGTGGTGGTGGTGGTGTGGGAGGGAGTGTTGGTGGTGGTGAGAGAGGCAGTGATTGATGGAGGGGGGGCATTGAGGGGGGAGAGGCAGGGAGAGTGTTGGTGATGATGGAGTGGGAGGTGGTAAGGGAAGGGGAGGAGGGAAGGACTGCTGACCAGGCAATGGTTGCCAAACCTCTCACCCATACTGTATTAAAATTTTTAATCTTAGTTGTAAAATATTTATGCCAAAATATGTTAATTTTCCATATATTACTATACAATATTAATCATTAACATGTTTTATGGTTTCTTATTTATTAATTAAACAAAATATAGTTTTATTTATGAATTATGCACAGTTGGCATCTGCGAGCAGGCGCTGACAGACATGTCCACCTCTACACCTAGCCTTGACCCCGTTAGTAGCTCCCTCCTCCATAGCCTGCTGTTCTTATGTTATGAGGAAGGCAGTGAAGGAGGGATGGAAGACATTGAGGGAGGGATGGGAGGCAGGGATGGAGGGAGGCACGGAGGGATAGAAGCAGTGAAGGCGGGAGGGTGGTGGTGGTGGTGGTGATGGTGAGAGAAGAGTGGGGGGGGCGAGGAAAGAGTGGTGGTGAGGGAGGGAGGGAGGGAGGTGTTTGGTTAATATGGTTCACTTGTTGTGTGGTCCACTTGTCCACTTGGTGATCCAACTTGTCATATGAAGGAATTATTAATTGTTACCTGTGATAGAATGGGCACTAACACAGGAACTAGCTTGGAACGCAATTACACAATGAACTTTATTTCATTTTAGTTATATTAAATATATCTTTCCCGAATGTTACTCGAAATATTACCGACACTTCAACAACTTCAGAAATACCAGAGCCCCGGAAATAACGACCTGGGTACAGCCCCATATAGGCCGTTAAATCGAGTGGATACTGGAGGACTAGGGGTTCAGATTGGGTTATCTTTAATACACCTATTGAGATGGACTGTCATTTGTGCTCAATCGGTTTCCCAGGATCTTCACCAGATTGACTCATGTTGTTCTTCAAAGTCTTCAACTTCTGGAGATTCGTGTTCTAGCCTACCTCGACAATTGGCTGGTTTAGGCTCCAGTCATCAGCTTATCAGCCTTACTACATCTGCAATACTGTCTTCACTAATGTGAAGACAGTATTGCAGTCACTTATAAGGCCCCTCATCTTTCCTGACAGACCCTCCAGGTTTTTCCTGATTGCTTTAACTTTGTGTGCATAGTCTTTCTGCTGGGCCAGAATTTGCTGAATGGGTGGTATCACCTTCTGCACAGATCAACTATTTGTCTGCAGTGGGACTACATAGTGCAGCCTTGGGCTTTATGGCTTATTTTGATTTATCACTTTCCTTTTTGGGCTTTTGAGGGTGCTCTCTCTCTCTGTCAATCTTATTTCCTTGCTGCCTTTTTTCAAGGCCAGGTTTTGTAATATTATGTTAGATGGTTTGATTCAGCTAGCCTGATGTGTGCATGTATGCTGTTATTATTGCTTCCTTTGTTAATATTCAGGCCTAGGATTTCTGACTGTTAATTTTGCCTGCTCATTACTTTTAAATTTTGCCTGTCCTTGCTTGGCCTATATGGCTCTTTCATGCCTTTCCAGTCACCAAGTTGATGAGCAAATCCATAGGATCTGTGATGACGGTTCGAATATATGTGCTGGGTGTTCCCAGGCACATGCTCTAGTCTAGACAACTATGCCACATTATTATGATCATGATTGTGTGATTACTTTGTGTACCAAGTTTATCCTTTTCTGAGCTTTGGGTTTGCTGTTTTCTCACCTCGCAGATCAGCCCTATAATTGTACTGTACCATTATTAATTTAGTTTTGCTCTAAGACTATTTACTGAGAGACACATTGGAAGTATGCACAGGGAAGTTAATGAGGTCTGGCCAGAAATCAAGCATTGAATGTAATGAAATGTCCTTTCATAGTGGTTTCAGTAGCTCACTGTTCCTGCCCTTCCTTGCCCCTTTGTGCCTTGGGGGGATTAGATGGGGCATACAAGTGGAGACTGGCAGGCAGGACACATGGGTGACCTGAGCTATAAAGCCTAGTGATATGCTGGGGTAATAATGTATGAGGCAAACTACTGCTACTGTTGCTTTCATCTCTTCTCTCTTTAATCAAGATATGTAATTTTTTGCTTCACTTGTACTTTTTGGGCAAATTTACTCAGTTGATTGGAAATTCCCATGCCTTCCCATGACCCTTCCTTCACTAACCTCGGTGCAGACTAGATTCTGATCCTGGTGTTACTTTATAATAATACTCAAAGATCTTTTGCATTAACCGTCACAATTTCAGAGAATGGTCTTGCTCTCTTTACATACATTGTGTGTGACACACAGAGATTGTTCATCACCCTTCTTAATTACTTCTTAAATTCTTCACTACATATTTTCTCATGTAGGGTGCAAGAGTGATTTTCTCATGTAGGGTGCATATTTTCTCATGTAGGGTGCATCATGTGAATGGCTTCACCACAAAAATAATGCTGCTGTATACTGTTCACATACAATATACAGTACAAATGAAATGGATATCACATTTGACTTCCTTCTTTAATTGATCTAATTTTTTTTATTTGACAGTATTTCATTCAACTAGTATCTGATTTCTTTTATATTTCATTATCATTATGTATTTATGTTTTAGGTGTTTCCTCTGGATATGTCTCAATTTGGCAATCTATTCAACTCCACTCGTATCCCAGAGATTGGCAAAGACAAGCTGAAATGTGATTCGAGTGCCCGCCACATGCTATTCATGAAAAATGGCCACTTTTACGTGTTTGATGTCCTCGATGCAGATGGTATGTGTTTACTTAAGTTGTTTGCATATTAATTATAGTGCATCCAAAAAATGTCCTTACTATTTTTCATCATATCTGCACCTGCAATGCAAAATGTGCTACAGTAAAAGTACTGACAATGTGATAGGTGATTATTTATTTATTTTCTTCAATTTCTGTATTTCCTTCTCTAAGGAAATACAGTGGTTCAGGATTTGAGGCTGTATTTCTTGATTTTTGCCTGAAGTAATAGTCTTCTCTACCTCAATATCCATTTTTACTGTCAAGCTGTGCTGCTTGTTCCAATGAGATTATTTCACTGGAACATTTAATTTAGGTTGGTTTCATGTAAGAGGCATGGCCTTGAAATATATTTTTGCTGGTACTGAGGGTGCTGGATTTCTCAACTAACTTAATCCTCTCAAGGAATTCTTTATCATTTGGCAATTCCTATCAGGAAAATAGGTTGGCTGTCTTCGAGTCTTGGTATCATTACTGGGATGCCTTGTTAGTTGTAACACGGTAAGGGAAATAGTCCATCCCCAGTCATACCCACAGATATCACACCAATGAGATATTGTGCTCACTCATTTGTGTAGAAGCACACCCATGAAACAAATACTTGTTGACAGGTGATCACTTGCCAAACTGTAAGTACTGTGGAGCTTTGCTGAGTGTAAAGCACCTGCTGGTAGAATGCCCTACACTTGGGATAAAAATACAGTTCTGTATCTCTGCAACTACCATTGGCATTGAATATTTTCCACTATCTTTAATGCTAAGGGATGATGATTTCTTCTTTGTGAGTAGTATATTGCATTTTATTGAGGAAGCACAGACTGTTACTGTATATATGGTCATATTAAAACATTGAAACTTTTTAAGCCTGAAAATTTGAATAGTTCTGTTTTCCAATTAATTATTTACATAGCATTGTATCCTTGGGTTGGCTGTTAGTGGTACAGTTACAGTCTGTAGCTAAAAGAATGATATTAATCATGGGTTAATACCATGGTTAATACCATTCAGGGTGAAATCATCCTGAACTTCAAAACCAGTTCAGGGTGACTGCAAACGTGACATAGTACAATACCTGCATTTTGCTTCCTCTGGGTTATCAACCCTAACCTGTGCTACAATACAAAATAGTTAATGAAATTAATTTTCAGGTTTTTTTTTTGTCTACAGAAAATCATTATTTATCTACAGTATTATTTGTCAGAATATGTTCAAACATATATAATAACATTTGCTTTAAGATAAGTCAAGAACATTTGGTGATAAATCGGTGCATCCTGTCAAGTTGTCACAATGAACGGATAATGATGAATTAAAGTGCCTCGACTGAACCGACCCCCCCCCCCCCCACACACACACACACACACACACACACACACACACACACACACACGTTGAGAATACAAATGTTTGTGAGCCACTATGATTTATCATACATCATATTTCGTCCATTGGGGATTTTGATGTCAAAATGTGATATATTTTTTGAGAGGACAAGTTGAATAAATAGCCAAAAACTGGGTAACTTTTGAAATCTAGTTTTTCCACAAATCAAGAATATGATCTAAATTTTGGATGTGCTTTTATGTATGAAATGTATGTTTGAATGTACAGTATCTATATATGTATGTGTATAATATGTTTTTATTTTTATTGTGTGTATAAATTATCTTCTTCTTATTGTATGTAAATTGTATATATTTATATATTTTGTATGTATACTGTATGATATAATGCATGTTATTTATCTGTTAATCATTTTTATGCTAATTTTGGGTCTTTTTCGTTTTTATTTCCAGGTAACATTCTACCTCCAAACCATATTCATGCCTGCATATCACACATTGCCAAGGATCAAACTCCACCTCCAAAATATCCTATTGCCATCCTCTCATCAGAAAATCGTGACACCTGGGCTGCCTGTCGGACAGAATTAGTTGCTGCAGGAAATGAAGCTGCTCTGAATTCTATTGATAGTGCTGCCTTTAATATAGTGTTTGATGATCAAGAAGTTGGGTTAGATGCAGAAAAAATGTATCGCACATTTCTCTATGGGAATGGGAAGAATCGGTTTGTAGCTACATAAGCCGACAGTACTTTTATGATTAGGAACAATATCCCAGATGTGGGGAATACCTTAGTTTTCTTTTTTTATGTATCCCCCCAGAAGAATTTCTTCTTGTCTTGTGTATTTTTCTAGACTGTCCATCTGTGTACCTTTCTCAAATTTACACTCAGATACTGCCAAGCCTTAGGAATTGCACCAGGCTTCTGAGAGAGTTTGTGGTTATTTAACTATATTTTCCTGGTGTGTGTGTGTATGATACAGGGACAGAAGATAACTGGATTGGCATATTACCTCTTCCAGGAGGCATTCATGTACTGTATTGGAATATTAAAGAACCAACAAGAATGAGGGGAAAGTAATGTGCCATCAACACTGGACTTAATATTTACTAGGAAAGAGGCAGATATCTTTGATGTACAGTATTTGCCTCCAATAGGTAAGAGTGTGACCATGTATTCTTAGAAGTAAAATACAATGCTAGCAGCAAGAGTTTTTTGTGTTCAGGCTCAATAGACAAGGTATTATTCATATAGAAATTGAAAAATGATTATTCTTGTGGAAAGCAACATGGTGATGTGTGTGGTCACTGCACATGATAATGTTGCCAGTACAGCAAGCCCTTTCTATTTGGGATAAATTCTTGAAACACCCTTGTCTTGTAAAACCACTAGGGCTAGAACAAAGGGCAGATAGGTTTGCTGACAAACAACTGTGCAGGGTAATTCGAAAAAGTAAATATGTAAAAAGTTTGAAAATATAAAGCTGTGAATATGTTAGGGTATGTACACTTACATGTGCTTGCAAGGTGAGCTTCAGTTCTTATTCTTCACCTTTTAGTTACCTGTTATGACTCCCAACCCTCTTCCCTCCTGTCATACCCACTGTACTCTTGAAATTGGAGTAAACCTAACAACCTTTCCCTTTTAGCTTCTTCCACCTACTCATTGCTCTTAAACTAAAGTAGCACTTACTTATGTCTTAGTGGCTTCTCTGAGTTTCAAGTTTCCACCTATGTTTTCTTGTCATGTTCCTCTGCATGCTGAGCATTTTGATTCCATTCACTTTGTCAGTGACTTGAATAATCTTGTGCAGTATTTATTAATCATGTCGCTTCTTTCCTTTCTCTTTTCCAGTGTGATGAGGTCTAGGTCTCTCAGCCTTTCTAATCTCTATTCCTATGGGAATAGGCATAGGAGATTTATTAATCCCAGGTCTTTTTTTCCGACATGGCACTTGGGAAATTTTCTCAAGCCTGCTCCAAATCTCATCACCTTACATTTGCTTGGATTAAAGTTGAACAGTCATTTTGTAGACCGTCTTTTTAGTTTGTTCAGTTTCACTTATGTTCTGCTCCTGTATAGAAATCTAGTTACAGTATATAGGAAATATTTACATTACACTTTACAGTGCTGTATAACCATCCTAGCTTAGCAGTTTGATACTTATTTATTCCTCCTCCTCCTTTCATTATATAATTCCTTTTTAATTTTTTTAATGTGGGGAGAATCTTTGACTCTGGAGCTATCAGACTGATATTAGCTTATATTAGTCTGGGGCTACAGTCAATGGAGTTCTGCCTACCGGGGACCACAAGCCAGAACCTGGCCCCATCAGAGAGGCACAGGGAGCAATGCCCTAATTAAACCCCCTTGTATTTGGGAGTATTCGATATCTTCCATCGACCGGGGTTAGGCACCAAGAAGATAGGTGTCCCAAAACAAACCCCACTTGGTAGGAAATTGCAAACCCAAGACAGAACAGAAAAATAGAACTTCCCCAAAAGAAAACAAGTAAACATGCAAACGTCATCAACCTCCGCCATTTTTGGGCTCTGGGTAGGGAGTAGTGTTGTTGCTGGTTGGGGCGCAAGGTGCTGCACAGCTCACCTACCTAGCAGCAGCCTTGTTCACTGTTCCTCTGTTGGTGGTGTGCTTTTGCAGGGTTTCTCTTTTCTTGTTTTACTGCATTCTTCCTCATATTGAACCGGGAAGAACTTCCTGGTTCTTCTCCATATTGGGTGCTTTATGAGGTTCCAGAGTCTTCCTGGCTGGCAAACTGTCCTTTCTTTTCTCAGGGAGCATGGCATGGGTTTTGTTGGACCCACGTGCTTGAATGGCGGGAGGCTGCTACCGTTCTTTAGGTTTACTTGGGGAATGATTTTGAGCGCCTCAATGTGTGCCTTTTCGCCCCTGTGCTTCCTCGTGATACTGGCTTTCTGCAGCACGCATAGGTTCCTACCCTTTCAGCTGCTTTGGTGGCTAAGGATTTTTGCACCCGTAGGCATTTGTCCTCGGTCTTGTGATTCTTTTCCCCTTCTCGAGCTATCCTCAGACTGGCTTGCCTTCGTCTGGGGCGTTGGCTTTGCTGTTTAAGCTATTTGCACTGATACTCCTGGAGGCGGTGTCTCTTGTTCTTTGCCTCTCGCATCACCAGGCCGTCCTCGCTCTCTCCTTGGAATCCATTTGGGTCCTGGCTTTTGGATTTTCGTCACCCTTCTGTCTGTTGTTGTTTGCAGACGGGGCTGGTACTCAGTTTTTGCAAGCGGCCTCAGCTAGTTGCCATGCTCTTTTTGGATTTGTTGATTCTCCGAGGCGGGCTATTCTCGGGCTTCTTGGAAGGGTCATGCCAGAGCTTGGGTTTCTTCTGGGCGAGGTGGGCCCATTGGTGGCAGTTTCTGACCGGCGCCTCCTTCGGAGCCATCGTCATCTGGTCGGCGCACTGCTCGCTCTGCACATTGGCCGGCTTCTCATTAGTGGCACCGGCCCTTTCGCGGGTCGTCCCGTTGATGGGGCGCTGGGGGGAAGGGAGGTCGGCTCTGTTTGCCCACCCTTGGTCCCACAATTTGTGGGTGTTTCAGGTCGTGTCTTCTTCCCAGTGGTGGCGATAGGCTGCTGCTCCTCCTCTGGGGGGTTCGGCACTGGCAGGGCAGGCTTCTGCCCCCCTGCCTTGTCAGGTCATCTTGGAGTGGGTGCGCTTGGGTGTGGTCAAAACAACCTTGTCCCTCAAGTGGGTTTCCCCGCTTGTTTCCAGTACTGGAATAGGGCTGTGCAGATCTTCAGTTCATTCTGGACATATCCCGCCCGAACTGCTGGATTCCTTGCCCCTCTTTTCGGATGACGACGCTGTCCCAGGTCTGGCTTCTTTTGGAGCTGGGGTGTTGGATGGTGTGTCTGGACTTCCGGGACATGTATTGGCACATCCCGATTTCTCTGAAGTTCAGGGACTGGTTAGGTTTCCTAATGGGGCGTCGTGCTTACCGCTTTCATTGCCTTCCTTTTGGCCTAAATCTGGCATCTCACGTTTTCATGCATCTTACCCGGGTCATGGTGACTCGTCTGTGTCTGCTAGGGGTTCAAGTTCTGGCCTACCTTGACGACTGGTTGGTGTGGGGTCCCAGCCAGTCTGCTTGTCTGCTCATCAAGGATGTGGTTCTTTCCCATGTCGCAGTGGACGCTTTTCAGCAAGACTGGTCGAGGTGGTGTACCTGTCCCTTTTTCCCCCGGTCCAGCTGTTGCTTTGGGTTCTAGCTTGGTTGGAGTCTTATCCGGGAGAGTCATCCTTGTGGCCCCATGGTGGTCGGCCCAGCTTTGGTTTCAGTCGCTGCTTGCTCGATGTCCGAACTTGGGGCGTTTTCCATGGCTCCGGCTCTTCCAGCTGATCGGGCTGGTCCTGTACCTGGCTGGTTTGATCTACTCCTCCACTCTTTGCATCTGGTCTTTTTTGACAATTGTGTATCACCATTTATATCATGATCAGGTGGTTTCATTGATGGTGTCCCACCTGTGTTCTTCATCTCGGCAAGAGTGTGAAGTATCATGGCGTTTCTGGGGGGGAGCCCCGGAGGCTCCCCTTAGCTATCCAGGCTGATATGCTAATGTCAGACTTTGGCATCAGTCATGTGTATGGAGATCTGTGGGCTTAACGGGGACCACGAGCCAGAACCTGGCCCCCCTCACAGAGGCACGAGGAGCAATGGCCTATAGGAAACCCCCGTGTGGTTTGAAGCATTCTATGTCTGCCATTGACCGGGTTAGGCACTCAGAAAGGTAGGCATCCCAAAAGAAACCCCTATTCTGGTGAAAATTGCTACAAAAAGGTGAACAAGTGTATAGAACTCCCCAAACAGAAACGAGCAAACGAGTATGACATCCCATGCCGCCGTCTGCGCAGCTCCCCCCACTCTCTGAGAGGGGGAAGGAAGAGCCCCTGACCCTTGTGCCGGCCATTCACACCTCAGTTCTGAGGCTGATGCTAAAGGCAGATGTCGTGTGCTTTGACTCCAGTGGTTGTTTCAGTATTGTGTCTTGTGTGTGGTGACTGTCTTCTAGGTGGTGCGCGAGGCGGGCGTTATTCTTCAGTACTCGTATTTCCCTAGGTGCCCAGTAAGTACTGTACTACCCTTGGGGCTTGGGGTCACCTTCCACAAGTTCCTTGGGTTCTGCCTTTGCTAGGCCGTTTACTGCTTGGTTTTCGGCCGCCCTTTGTGTGCTTGGGTGTTCTGTCTCCCTCGTTTGCCTTAGAGTAGGGGGCAGTTTACACTGGTAAGGGGTGCAACTTACTGCGCAGCTTGTTGTCACCAATCATTCTGTTCTGCCTGGGTACACTGTCCTCTTGCAGGGTTTTCTTTTTCTTTTTGTTTGCCTGCCTGGTTAATCTGCCTTGATTATTCCTTGATTATTACCCCCTGTGTACTGAGTATTCTTCTCTCTTCTGGTGGTACTTGGTCCCACATGAGTGTACACGTCCCGGGGGTTCAGTTCTTAGATAGTTGTTTTGTAGACTTGGGCGCCGGTTAACAGTACCCTGCCTGGGCTTCCCTGAGCGTGAGTTCCATCTCAGGACCCTGGGAATCCCCATGGGGTTACAGGGGGTCCGATGGATGTGATCCCTGAGTCCCCTCTCGCTTTGTGCAAGTTCGAGGGTTGCTTTGTCCCCTTGTCTCAGGGTGACTTTCGCTGTTTTTGCCTCAGTCTACTGCCTCTTGGGTCGATATCACCTTCAAACAAGGACCTGGAGTCCTGCGAGTTTTGTTGTTTGTTTGTGGCTCGGTTACCTGGTCTAATGCTGACTATGCTGATGCAGGCAGAATCCAACATGCAACGCCCGTTGCACATTGGATTCAGGTGGTTGCAACACGCTAGATTCTTTGCTCCCCGGAAGCCCTGAGGCTGCCCCGTTTTGCTTGTTGTGCCAGGGCTTGGGGGTGTTGGAAGCTTCGGTTTTGTTTCCGTCCGCACTCCCTTGTCTTTTCCCTGTTGTGGTCTAGTCTGGTCCCCCTCCCTTTCCTCCCTGCATCCGAATCCTCACCGTCTGTGGGTTTGGGGTCGGGGCGGGGATTCGATGGTCTTGAGACTTGGGTGATCTCGAGGATTTCCCTTTCCAGGGTAGCGACGGAGGCATTCGACCCTGTTCCTCCAGCCGTGTTGTATGAGTCTTCCAGTGGGCTCCCTTCCTTAGTATTTATCCGGCTGCCCCGGCTTTTTTCCTGTTAGGCTGGGGCATTGGAGGGGACAGTTTGGCCTCGTGGCCTGCCATGGAGGTTCCCGGGGCTGGGGAGGGGCTGACTTGCGGGCCTCGGGCCCCGTTGGACCCTGCCAGGGTTTTCCTACCCTCTGAGCGGGGCTTGCAGTTACGGGGAGTGGGTTTTTTCCTTTTCCCCCCTCTGCGTAAGAGTTGTTGGGCGTTGGCCCCTCCCCGAGTTCGGTTCCTTGTCCCTTCGCGTCCGTTGGTCCTGTCCTATCGGTGGGTACTCTTCTCCGTTTTCTCACCCTTCATCTCTGGGACAGGACTTCTCCGTCATGTCAGGTAGATGGCTCCGGGAAGCCGACGGGGCTCCACCCAGAAAACCAACGTTGTATGTAATGAAACTCCATTTTCTGGGTGAGTCCCGGAGGCTCCCCGGCAACCCTCCCTCCCTCCCCCCTGTCGGGGGTTTTTGCGTGTTGTTGATATCCAGTCTCGGAACTGGGGTGTAGATGGTCGGCGCAGGGGTCTGGGGCTCCCCTGCCCCCTCTTGGGGAGGGGGGGGAGCTGTGCAGACGGCAACGTGTGACGTCCTGCTCGTTTCTGTTTGAGGAGTTCTATCCACTGGTTCGGCTTTTTGTAGCAATTTTCACCAGAATTGAGGTTTGTTTTGGGATGCTTACCTTTCTGGGTGCCTAACCTGGTTGATGGCAGACATAGAATGCTTCCAGCCACACGCGGGTTTCTATAGGCATTGCTCCTCGTGCCTCTCTGAGGGGGGGCCAGTTTCTGGCTCGTGGTCCCTGGTAGGCAAGAACTCCATGCACTTTGATGCCAGAAAGCTAATAGTTACATATCAGTCAGAATAGCTCAGGAGCCTTTGGGTCTCGCCCAGAAAATGGCATTTCATTACATTCAACGCTGGGTTTTTTTCACCAAATTGTTCCACCACACTTTAATTTTCTTCTCTAGGGAACAATAATTTTTCTGTAGTGCTAATTCGAATTATAGCACTGTACTTTTATTAGTTATGTTTAAATCTGGAAAAATTTAAGCGATTCATTAGAACTACAGCTTAATGAAGAAGCATTGTTGTATTCTTGGTTAAGATTTCCCTACTTGAAATATCTATATCGTGGTTAGTTGGGAAGAAGCTGGTTATATTATTGCTCATGTGTGAATGTGATCCATTGGTGTGGTATTTGCATAGTGCAGCAAGATATAATGCAGTATGGACTGACAATGTTGGGAGCATTTGTTGTGTTAGGAAGATGGATGGAATAAGGACTGATCATGTCAGGACAAGATGTGGTGTTTGAAAGTCTGTGAAGTCTAATATTGAGGAGAAAACTAATTTGTGATTTTGTTGAACCAATAAATGATTACTACGTGATGAAGAGGTTTGAGATTAGAATTATGAGATGATGATGTGGATGTTGAGTCTGATGGTGCTTGCTTTCTCAAATGATTTTAGTGTAAAATATTGTGAATAGTGTGCAGAGTTGAACATTTTAAATGTTAAATGTTTAATATTTATTGTTTGTATTGATTGATCTTTTCAAGGCAAGTTCTTCTGCATCTCACAAAAATGAGAAATAGATTAATGATGACAAAGATTACAGTATTAAATACACTCTCCATTTGAATAATTTTAGGTTAAAATAATTACTGAATTTGATTTTTGTAAAGAATATTTAATTTCTTCAGTGGTTATTTTCAGGTGGTTTGACAAGTCTTTCTCATTAGTCTTCAGTCGTGATGGGCAAGGTGGCCTAAATTTTGAGCATTCATGGGGAGATGGAGTGGCTGTCATGAGCTATTTTAATGAAGTAGCTAAGAATGTCAACGAGCATCCCTACGTCCATCCTGATAGTGTACCTGCCAAAGTTGATGCCTCACAGTTGGTCCGGAGGCTGGGTATGTGTGTCTTCACTCTGGCTTCATTCAAATAAGTATAAACCATTATTATGTAATGTAGTAATGTTTTGGGGTACTTTGCTGTGCTTGGGTGTCCCTCCCCCTCCCCTCTCTGTTTTTCTTCCTATCTCCCCCCCCCCCCCCCATTCTATTCCCCTGTTCCCACTCAGTTCCTCTCTTTCCTATATCCCCTCCTATTCCTTTTCCCCTATGCTTCCTCTACTCCTATGCCCCCTCTATTCCTCTCTTCTCCTATGCACCCTCCACGTTCCCTCTTCTCTTCTCCCCCTATGCCCCCCCTCTATTCATATCTTCTCTCTATGCCCCCCTTATACCACCTTACTCTCTTCCCCATATTCCTCCTCCTACTCCTCTCTTCCCCCTATTCCCTCTCTTCCCCCCTTATGCCCTCTCTTCCCCCCCTTATGCCCTCTCTTTCCCCCCTATGCCCTCTCTTTCCCCCTATACCCTTTCTTCTCCTCCTATGCCCTCTCCTTTCCCCCTCTGCCCTCTCTACCCCCCTAAAAAAAAAAAGTTAATGATGGTTTCATACAAGAAATGGATTCTCATAGTAAATGTTGAACAAAAAACATTGTATAAACAGTGTATTATATGTACAGTTTCTATATATTAATACTAATTTCAGAATTCAACTTGACACCAAATTTGGAGGCTGCTATTGATAAGGCTATCCAAACCTACGAGACTAGCACCAGTGCTCTACAGGTAGATGTTTTGGAGTCAACAATATTCGGCAAGAATATATGTAAAAAGCGAAATGTGTCGCCAGATGCCATGATGCAGTTAGGATTTCAGGTATTTATTAAGATAAAACACTACAACGAATTACAAAAATAATAATGTATTTTGGGGTGATGGTAACAGACATAAATATTTGTCTTATTTTGTGTGTGTTTTTATTTTGTTGGTTGTGCAGTGGTTAGGGATCTAGTGCGCTAAATTTAGTTTCATTATTTTATTATAATTTCCTCCATAAAGTTTTAAATGAAAGTGGTGATTATGTTATAAAATATTTAAATTGCTCAAAATATTTAAATTTTAGAGGTTGTACTCATTAAGTTCAATTCTTAAAATTTAATTTAATGAAATTAGTTTATGAAGTGGCTATTTTTAATCTTGATTTTGTAAATATCTTTAAATTCAGAGTTACATATTTTATTACAGGTTGCATATTACCTCCAACATGGAATGACTGTCGCTACATATGAGTCATGCAGTACGTCAGCATTTAAACATGGACGTACAGAAACAGTGCGTCCTGCAACCTTGGAAACGGTAGAATTTGCCAAAGCTGTGTCTCGTTCACAGCCACCAAGTAGTGAAGACTTGAAGAAATTGGTTATGGAATGCTCAAAAGTTCATGGGATGTTAACCAAAGAAGCAGCCATGGGTAGGAGTGCTATATTATAGTAGACTCAAGGTTGTGTTCCATGTGCTATCTGATTGCGTAATATTTAATTTAAGGTTTGATGAGAAAAATAGGATGCAGTCCAGAACCAAGAATTTGTTTTTAGTTAAGGATTTAATAATACTGTATGTATAATCTGAAGTATTATTGATACAATACACATTAAACAAGTCTGGCTTAGTGCAAGATAAAAAAAAGTGAGTGATGAATTGTGGGAAAAGGTTAGTGGGTCTCTGAAGAAGGACCATTGTTATCTCTTGACACATCCTGGGGCCTAGTTCCCAGGATGTCACCTGTTCCTCTGGGTGGGAAATATTTGTTGTGCTCCCTTCCACGTTAAACTTTTCTACACCTTGTTGTCCCACTTGTTATTGAACAGGTTCTTGCAGCAATATTTAGGTTCGGTGCATGCTAAGTGGGGTTAATTTTTCCTGCCACTTTCACATCTGAAATGGATACACCTACTTAGAATATGGATCTGCTGCTGGTTCTTGATTATAATGGGAGGTTTTGGCATTCACCAAGATAATAGATTATTTATTATTTTCATTGTGGAAGTAGCATCTTCCATGTCATTCTTCGGTGTTAGTGATAGGAGGCCTTCCCAGAGCTTTAATGTTCGCTTGTTAGGTCCTCTTTGATACACTTAAGGTGGTATATATGAGGTTGAATCATGCCAGCGTCATGTCCTTGTTCCTCTGTTGCCATCGGCCTTGTTCTCTGCTGACCACAAGGCTTAATTAAACTTGGCAGATGTGTAGTGTTTTTCTCTGGCCACAAGTTTTATGGTCTACAGTTGCATTATGCATTATAGGTACTAACTATTGTTTAAACTACAACATCATAGTTGAAGCACAGTCAGTTCACAATGGAAAGGTCCCATGTTCAATTCCCTTTAATTTCACCTGATACCTCTGTTCAAGCAGTAAATAGGTACCGAAGAGTTATATGAATTTTGGATTGCATCCTGGGAAAGGTCAGTCACTGGCCTAGGGACACCTCAATAAGCCTAACAAGCATCCTGTCCCATGACAATTGGAAACTAAGTTGTTTGGCTGCTTTTGGTACTGACAATGATGGAAATGGGTTTTGGGAACTAGGTTCAGTATATGCTGAAGCTGTATCTAGGATTTATGCTCAGGGATCACAAGTAAGGGGGTCTAGCCTTAATTATAACAAGTAAACAAATAATTTTAATTGATAGAAACTTGACAAAGAATAACTAATAAATGTGTGTATTAGCATAGAAATTGAACATAAACACACCTGGAAACTTGAGACATAAGTGTATGCTGCACACCATTGTTCCCATCCCAAACCCATTTCCATCACTGAATACTAAGTTCCCACCGCTTCACTAGGTGTTTCAGGTTAAGACTGCTCAGTCAGCCCCACAGCCTACCCCTTGCCATTGTTGGGACAGTTGGATAAATAATTACCCCTAGGCTGCTGTACATCATCAGGGCTATGCTTCACATTCCTGGTAGCCCTTTTAGTGGTAAGTTTGTGCAATGGGCGATGTTTGGTGTCTGCCACTTTTAGAACCAGGTTGTTTGGGCTCCTTAGGTGTGTCAGTTACATGTCCTTCCCCAGGAGTCTGTGTATACTCCTGCCACTTAACCCCCATCTATTATGCATTGAGCGTCACTGTATTTTGCATTGGGGCACGACTGGTGTCATGCAAGATATGTCACTTGAACAACTGTGGAAGCTTTCAGGAGGGAACTTGACAAGTTTCTGCTGGGGTTTTGTATGTGGATGTCCTTGTGGAGGTGTATCTTCTTCTGGTCTTATTGAGGTTTTACCATTTCTGGGGCTGTGTTTACCCATTCCATGGGTTGGGGTGCTGTTCACTATGTTCTTCTCAGTTGTACATACCACTGCCTGCATGTATGAAATATGTGCTCCGTATGAATGCTGGTCTACTAGGCAGCCTTGGTGTGATGTTGTATTCATTCTGTGGCTGCTCTTCTCTGCCCTGGTGCCCGGTTCTTGTCCTGGGCATCAAGCTGCATGCCTCATGATTGTAGGGCTGTGTAACTGACAGGTTTTGGTTTGCTGACCCTGGGTTTTCAGATTTCGTGCCCTGGTCTCCTGGACTATTTTCCTCCGTGTCTCTGGGCATTGTGCCTCCAGGTTTTGTTTCCCAGGCCCCTGGGTTGTGGCACTCAGGGTGTTTTCTCTGTATTGCCTGCCATGTTCTATTAGTGTGTGTTCTCTGCACTCTGTGTCATTAATTGCGTGCTGTAAACTTCCAAACTGTATGCCTTCAATCTTTCCATTTATGTGTTACATGGGCTATGTGCCCCAGTAATTTCAAGTTATGTACATATGTTGTGTTGGGCAATGTGCACTGGGCCTTTTCAGATTGTGCACAATGGACCTTTTGGTATTGTGCACAATGGGCCTTTTCGGATTGTGTGCACAATGGGCCTTTTAGGATATAGGTTATCTTGAGATGATTTCGGGGCTTAGCGTCCCTGCAGCCCGGTCTTCAACCAGGCCTCCTCTTTATTGTTAATTAATCCAGGATTGTGCATATACTGAACCATTTTGAGATTGTGTGTGCACTGGCCCATTTGCGTATTGTGCCCACACTGGGCTATTTGAAGATTGTGCGTGCACTGGGCCATTTAGGAGTGTGTGCGTACCTGGCCGCCTTTTGGCCTGTGTGTACACCTAGCCTCTGGATTCTGTCCTTCAATCCTCTGTGCTGTCGCCCGACCCCTTGCAATTTCAGTTCTATAGTTGAGGAGTTAGCACAGTTATTTTTGAGAAAGGATTTTTTATTTTCTGGACATCCATTCCGCTTGTTCTAGTCATCGGTTTTATGCCTGTCAGATGGGTTGGTGGTACCCTACTATCTGGGATGGGTGCTCTTCTCTGCAGGAAGTGGTGATATGCCATTCTGCCTAGGTGGGTTTATCAGCCCTGTGCAGTTGTCTGCTATCCTCCTTGTTCCCTTGTTGTCATTCCTAGTTTGCAAACTGCATCTCTGGCTTCGGTTGGGGTCCACTGCAGCCTTTCGTAGTTGCAGTGGTTGTGGTTGGATCTCATTCCTGGGCTAGGCTGCTCGCTTTCTTCATGGCAGTGTGTTTGCCTGCCTGTCTCTTCCTTGTTGGATTCTTTATAATTCTATTCTGTTTAAGGGTTTTGTGTGTGCTTCTTTGTATTTTTCTAAGGTTTCCCTGGGTTTTTGTTTTCCCTTCAGAGTTCTTTGTTCATTGTTGGATATATGGCTCTATGGTGTGCTTCACCATCTACTGCCTGGGTCAAGTGCCATGGTGTTTTCATTTCCTTGGTAGTGTCCCGTTTCCAGTCGAGCTTTGTGGCACAATCATTGGCTAACTTTCAATTATTTTTTGCCTTGAATATATATTTTTTCTTCTTAAACACAGTGGTTTTAATTTGCTCTACCCAAATCACTCAAGCAAGTTTTGCTGGTGTTTGAGTGGAACTCTGACCTCCGGGCTTCCCTCAACTATTTGTGCTAACAATTGTAGTCGTGGTTTGTGATAGGCTGCGCAGGCTTTTAGAGGCTTTGGGGTATCGGAGCCTAAAGTACCAAGAAGCTATGCAGAAAGGAACATTTCATTACATTTATCACTTCATTTTTGTCTTTTGTGATTTGAAATCATTAATTATGAAATACTGAGGTGAAGAATAGATCTGTAAACTTGTTTTAAAATAATATACTTCATTTTATACTTCCAGGTCAGGGGTTTGACCGTCACCTATTCGGTCTGAGAAAGTTAGCAGAAGCTCAAGGTGGTCAGATACCAGATCTCTTCTCTGATCCTGCATATGCCAGAATAAATCATAACATCTTATCTACGTCTACTCTTCCATCTGCTGCTATTAGTTTTGGTGGTTTTGCACCAGTTGTTAGAGATGGATTTGGTGTTGGGTAAGCTCTAATTATCTTTTTTTACTAGGTACTTATGATTAGGAAATAATAAAGAAATTTTGTTTACTAAATATAGGAGAAATGAGATTGAAATGCCCCTAACTACAGCTGTACGTGAGACCTGCCCGTAATGGTTGAGAAAGCAGTTAGAAAACTAAAAAATGCGAGTTATGATAGCCCCTTTAACATATACCCTTTACAATTTTAAACAATGAATTCTGAAAATATATGTTTATATGTGTGTGTCTCTTACAGGGTTCCTCTCCCATGGTAGTTTGCCATCTATTATAAACACCTCTGTACTTGTTCTCATTCCAAAGAACTGCCAGGCTTTTATGTCCTCTAATAACTAAAGAGTTGTTGCCTTTAACACATTAAAGAAAGTATTTGATTGTATGCTCACTGACTTTCTACCTGACAAATTGGCCACTTCTGACTTTGTTTGCATACAAATCTCATTACTTGTCAATCGATAAAATTGATAAGGAAGAATTCCTGAGACCTGGAACTTCAAGAACAAGAGGTCATAGATTTAAACTAACGAAACAAAGCTGCCGGAGAAATATAAGAAAATTCACTCTTGTAAACAGAGTGGTAGACGGTTGGAACAAGTTAGGTGAGAAGGTGGTGGAGGCCAAAACCGTCAGTAATTTCAAAGCGTTACATGACAAAGAGTGCTAGGGAGACGGGACACCACGAGCGTAGCTCTCATCCTGTAACTTCACTTAGGTAATTACAGTCTGTAGTTTCGTATTGGTGGAAACCATTCGGTATTACACTTCAAAAGGTAGTTTTTGTTCTCTCGCTATTCTTGATGCTTCCAAAGCTTTTGACAAAGTTGAACACAATTTTTCTGTGGAGAGCCCCTTCAGCTCCCCTGAGCTATACCGATCATATTTGTATATATTAGACCGTGACAACAGTCAGTCGATGTAGTTCTAGGCCTACCGGGAACCGCGAACCAGATTCTGATTCTTCCCATTATTCCTTCCCTTGAATCTTAACACATCTAACCATTTGCATACTGGCCCAGCGGCCAGTTCTTTTTGCATTTGGGAGGTCTGTTTGTCAATTTCTCTGTTGGTTGGAACATGATGGATCAGTCACCTAAGTCCACCATGGGTGCTGAATTTCTTTCAAACTTAAATGTGACATTTGTCTTTGTTCAACTTAGGTGCTGTCTGAAGTGCTACACTTAGCCACGTGCTTTACGAATACCTGTTATCCGATTGAGGTTTGTTCGGATAAAAAAGTTTGGGTAACTGGTAGGGCAGACTTTCTGAATAAAAATGTGTAATAAAGATGGAACTAGTTTGCCCAGTGACTGTACACAGCACCATTTGTTCATACACTAATGGATGGCTCAGAAGCTTTCAACTATGCCATGGCATTAGGTACATTTACATGAGTGAACAGCAATCTGCTGAGTGGACTAGGCCTCCTGCATAAAAACATTGCTCTAATCCCCAAATCAGAGCTGTTTTTCTAATAACAGATTGGGGCTGTAAAAGGCAGTCTGCTGAGGTTACCTCATCACCATTAATCTCCACTTCAGTTAACCCAGCACTATCATCATCCACCACCACCTTTTCTATCTAAATAATTTGAAGATTATAGTTGATGGCGCATTGTTAACAAGATGATCAGAACATGTATTGGTGAGTACAAACAAAATACTGTTGAATTTCTGCAACAAAATTGTCAATTCCCCCCACCCCCCCCTCCCCACCTCCCTAGCTTTTCAGGACTACTACCCACTTATCCGAACACAACATGTAAACCATTCAGTCTCACTCCTGAGGGGTTCGGATAGCACGTGGCTGACTGTAATCCCAATGCTATAGCAACAAGGAGCTACCAAGTGGCCCACTAGAGAAAAGCATTTCATGACATTCAAAGTTTGATTTTAACTATTGAAACCATAATAAATGTTAAGGTTAATTTTATGGCTACTGCAGTGGACATAAGCCTACACAAGTGATAAGTTTGCTGGCCATTCTCTTTCAATATAGAAAATGAGGGAAAGTATATGTTGCTTCAAAATCCTGCACTCCACCAAACCTAATGCTTGTAGAAATCATTAGCCTTGAGATATGGTAGGTCATCTTGGCAGCTGGCACATTACAAAAAATGTACTCTTTCATATCACTTTCTTATGTTAACCCAACTCTTGTTAATGGTACAGGTCAGACTGAAATGTCGTTTCTTCATTTTCTGAATAGTAGTTTTGTCATCATAGTATATATTTTTTTAATTTTACCTATTTTGGTACTATAATTAGCATGCCTTATAGACCAGTTTAGTCTATATTCATCCAATTATGTACTCACTCATAAATCTTAATCCTTACACATTAAAACAATAATTTTATTATTAAATATTATCTATTTTAGGCCTTGTTGAGTTTAGCATATTAAATTACATATGTACCTTAAGTTTTGTTTAGGATTAATACTATAATAAATATTTTTGGATTTGATGTGTGATATCACATATGCTGAATAAAATGCAAGATAAATATTTTATTTGCAGCTACCAGATTCAGGATGACCGGCTGGGGATTGTACTGTCATCCTATCCTCCTCATCGTGATGGTGCTGGCTTTATTGAATGTGCTGAAAAAGCCTACAAGATTATTCATGATGTATTACAATAGTCTTAACCTATGATTTGGGTTGGGCAACTGCTCCTTGAAAGTACAGTACTGTACAGTGTATACTAACAATTATAGTGAAATATTTTATGAGGGTCTGCAATAAAATATTTATGGTATGAGAATCTTATTTATGCAGGTTTCAAAGTACCGTTTATGTACTACAATTTTGTCCCCCATTGCTTCTGGGACACCCGGTGCCTGAGGTAAGAGTGCCACCAGTTTTTCTAACGAACTGGGTTTAAATCATAATAGCATGATATATCAAATGAACAAATCCCCAGAATAAGGCGCATCTGGGATCATCCCGGGTATAGGTTCAAACCCTCATCACAGCCCTTGTGGATTTGTTCAAGAGACCCTAGAGCTACCAGCTTCCTTTTTCATCACCTCAGCGTGGCGCTACAGAGGGGAATGCACACTGCATTCAGGGTTCCTGCCCGCCATCTGAGGAGCTGGAGGAACTCAACAGCTTATGATAATCATCTTTGTACCCTATTTGTAACTCCTTTTTTTTGTAACAAACTGCAAGTAAAACAAATTATATACAGTGTATATATATATATATATATATATATATATATATATATATGTATGTATGTATGTAAAATTAATATAACACAGTATACAGTAGCACCTTGGTTTACAAATTTAATCCGTTCCAAGATACAATTATTACACCAAAAATTCTTAACCAAAAAAATTTCCCATAGTAAATAATGTAAATTGAATTACTCTGTTCCTCACCCAAAAATATTAACTTAAAAATACATTTTATACAGAATACTGCTCATATTTTTTACTGTACCTTACCTTTATTGAGGACTCTTGTTGGCATTTTGAAGACGGTGAGGTGGTGGTGGTGGTGGTGAGGGGGGGGGGGTCAAGGAGAGGAGTTAGTGTTTGGAAGGGAAGTCCCCCCTTCCATTATAACAGTAGGCAGTGATGCCATTTCTGGGGTACTCTCTCCTATGTTTTGCAGGCAAACTACTAGGACCTGGTTGTGGCTCACTGATTGCTTGTCTTACTAAGAATCTGTCTATAGACACTTGTTTCTGTGGGGAGCCCGGTTGGCTCCGAGCAATCGGACTGACATTAGTTTCTTTTACTTACTTGATCAGTAAGTAAAAGTTTATTTACTCAGTGAGACAGAATAGGAGTTTCCCCACGTGGGAGTACCTCTTGTTTCTAGCCCTAAGCGGCGGAATGGCGATGACCGAGTGTCTCAGTTTTGGAGACATGATAAGTCTGGGGCTTCAGTTATATGGAGTTCTCATGCTTACCGGGAACCACGAGCCAGAACCTTGTTCCCTCAGAGTCGCAGGGACCAATGGCCTATGAAAACTCTATACTTTAAGAGTATGTATATTAATGTCTGCCAACCTGGGGGTGGGGTTTGGGTTCTGTTCGGTCTTGGGTTGCAATTTTCTACCAGTTGGGGATATTTTTGGTCGCCGATCTTTCTCGATGCCTAACCCCAGTCGATGGCAGACATGAATATACTCTCAGAGTATCGTTTTCATAGTCTATTGCTCTCTTCGCCTCTCTGAGGCGAAGTTCTATTCTTTATGCCCTGCCACTTAGCCGTTTATACCTGGTGTACCACATACCTCTCTCAATATTAAAGTTTTATCGTATTTCTTTTAAAGTTGTGGATGACATTGGCTTTACCAACTTCTTACTTTATTGCATTCAACTTTCTTACCATCCGAACATGCAAACCAAGATCGCAATAGTGATGTATCAAGGAGAAAATTTGGGAGCAGTATTCCCCTCCCTTTCCGGCCTGTTGACATCGTGAGGGGGGGCTTGGTGGGCGGCTGCCAGAGTGTGATGCTCCATGGGACAGTCCTCTGTCTTTTTGAAGCCTTAAGCTCCTGCTTCTGTCTTTTGGGATAAAAAAATGACAATTTTACCTGTTCGTTTATATGCCAATATCTGATCCTTTTTTAATGTTTCAGACTCATGGGGTGGGCGACCAGGCCCCCAAGTCGGACCATGATGGAACATAAGAACAAAGGTAACTGCAGAAGGCCTATTGGCCCATACGAGGCAGCTCCTATCTATAACCACCCAACCTGGAAGGCCAGGCTTTGTAACCCCTACTACATTGGGCTCAGACCAAGCTGCTTCTCTAACTCTCCTGATTACCCCTCTCTGCTGTCCTCCCACCTCTGTGGCAGGGCTGAGCCCCAAGCCCCCAGTGGTGATCACCTCATCACCTGGAGTGGCTCCATTTCTCATTGTAACAATTGTGCCATTTACCCCTCTTACAGGGGTGGGGGGGGGGTCGTCACCGTCGCATCAAAAAGCAAGAGTAACTCCAGTCCATAAAGGAGGCAATCCGGCGGACATAAACAATTATAGACCAATATCAAATCTACCCATTCTATCAAAAATATTTGAAAAAATTATCTACAAACAGCTCTATTCCTACCTCGCAAAATTCGACATACTCAGCCCCTGCCAGTTTGGCTTCCGGTCCCAAAAGAGCACCAATGATGCAATCATTATAAAAAATAAAATAAAATAAAAGTAAAATAAAATGTTTATTCAGGTAAGGTACATACATACAAGAGATTTTACATAATTTGATCGATATATAGATGGAGCTAGTACATACAATGCCTAAAGCCACTATTACGCAAAGCGTTTCGGGCAGGAAAAACATTAATGACTAAAACTTAATACTAATTGAGTATAAAGAATAAAATGTGTTGAGAACAAATAAAAATAAAGATAAAAAAGGGGGAAACATGGCTGAAAACACAGCACAAATATAATTAGGTCGACAAACAGCGTTGTTTAAGAAAACAGACATGGGTTGACAATAGGGGGGTAAGGTAGGTTACAGGGAAATTATTAGGTAGTGCTTTGTTTTTACCTTAAACTGGTTGAGAGAGGTACAGTCTTTAACATGGTTGGGAAGGTCATTCCACATTCTGGGTCCCTTGATTTGTAGAGCATTTCTAGTTTGATTAAGTCTGTGGCAACAGTCACTCGATGGAGTTCTTAGCCTACCGGGGACCACTGGGCCACCCCCATGTAGTTGGAAGCAGTCTATATCTGCCATCTACCAGGTCAGGCACCCAGAAAGGTATGAATCCCAAAACAAACTACAGCTGGCTAAAAATTGCAAGCCGAAAGCCGAACAAGCAAGCAGAACTCCAAACTAGAAAACAAGCAAACAAGCATGACGTCACAACAGCTGTCTGCGCAGCTCCCCGCGCAGCTCCCCTTCCCTCCAAAAGGAAAAGGGAGGGTCCCAGACCTCCTGCGCTGGCTACCCAACCTCAGTTTTGAGGCTGTTTTGCTGGGTGGCGGTTGATCAGCCCCAATCCTTCAGCATCCGGAGTGACCCCCGGTCACTCCGGGGTCACCAATGTAACGGTTCTATTGTTACGTAAAGTATGGTGACAAATAAACACAGACACTAAGATACTATATATATATTTGGTCGAATATACAGAAGTACACAGGTGATACTTTGGTGTGAGTTGAGCGCACTGAGCGTCGGTACAGTATCTCGCAAGTGTCTGCTCTAGACCACACTTGAAAGTAGACTCTGGTTAATGTTTGCTATTCTGCTGCTTATATGCTCGGGCAACACCTCACCGTGTTGCCCGGGCAACGCCTCGCCTCATTCATCTCCAAAGGTTGACAGGAATATTAACAATGCATTTGGAGCGAGTATATTATTGGGATAATCTGCTCGCTACAGTTTGGTCCTGCTACATGGACTAAGTACAGTATTTTGATCTCGGTCATGTTGATTCTACAAATCCTGATGATTTATTCATCTATAAACACCTAGTTGGTTTGGTGGCAACCTTTGACACTTTTAACCTCCACCCGTACTTGTACACGTTGTTGCAGCCCCTTCTCAGTAAGCAGCTAACCGCTTAGCCTGGTTGTCCTGCATTGGGGAGACCCCTGTTCAGATCTCCAAAAATGCCCAGTTAAATGTCAGCATTGGCACAGTTATTCTCTCGCACCTTCTTCGGATAGAAAACTAAAAGACTGCCATGAGAATATTAAACATATCCTTGAGGCCTAAGGCCATTCTATCCTCCAGATTGATACGTTCACCCGACCCCTTCGTGGTCGCCGTTTTCAGCCTCTTCGCGTAGTGAAGATCACTTTTTTGATAGTAGGTCTCTTCTATCTTCTGTAATTCTTGCTGGTGCCAAATGCTCCGTTCAGGAATACATCCCCTCTTCTCGCCTCTGCAATGGGTGCTGGAGATTTGGACATGGTCCCTTCAGATGCACTAGTGAGGCGTCTCTATGCCCCTTGTGTGGAGACTCGGGTCATTCTAAGACAGTGCTCTTCTTCCCAAGCTCTCTACATCAATTTCAGTGACACCCACCCTACCTTCTCTCGTGCATGTATGCACTACAAATTTGAGGAAGTCATCCTCAATTTGAAACTGCGATCATTTATCTTTTCCTGAGGCGAGATGCCACGTACGCCGCCTTCCCTCTTTCTTTGGCATGTCTTATGCTCGTGCATTGCGTTCCACTTATTCTTGCTTACTTTTAACCCCACCCGTACTGATACGGGTGGGGTTAAAAGTAACAGAGGTATCCACCGAACCAACTAGGTGTTTATGGATGAATAAATCAGGATGTGTAGAATCAATATCATTGAGATCAGAATACTTAATCCATGTAGCAGGACCAAACAAAGCTTGGAATGTATTAGAACTGGAAGGAATCGTGCGCATGCGACTACGGAGATAACAGCGCTGAGCACCCCAGTAAGAAGGGGATAAAAGGCGCAGATGTTACAATGAAAGATGGAACCACTCCAGGTGATGAGGTGGTCAGCACTGGAGGCTTGGGGTTCAACTCTGCCGCAGAGAGGGGTAGTCGGGAGTCAGAGAAGCAGCTTGGTCTGGGCCCAATGTAACAGGAACTACAAAGTCTGGCTTTCTATCAGTCCGATATGGGGGACTGGTCACCCACCCCACAAGTCTGGGAAGTTAAAAAGAGGGTGAGATATTGGCATATAAATGAACAGACAAAAATTTAATCAGTGAATAAGCCCCCATACCCATCATGGAGCCACAATTATAAGATAGGACACCCGACAAGATGCTCCCCCCCCCCCCCCCCGGGTGCAACGTGGGGTATACGCCCTGCAATCGCCACCTTAAGAACCATCAGTCCATCGAAATCGGGTTCAGTAATGAAGGCAAAGATTGACAATGAAAGCGTCCCCTCGCTCAACAATGTCGGGTACCACATTTTACAGGTGAGTGCGCGCGCCCTCTCCACTCACAGGATGAGTGGTGCTGCCCAATAAACTCACCCCTCGGGACAAAATTAAGTGTGCCCAAACACCCGGCATCGAGAATGGCAAAAAGTCGGCAGGAAATAACAATCAGAAAAGAGAAGTGAAACATAAGTGGAAAGGGCATCCAGTACAATTAGTGAAGAGGGCAGCAGGAGCATAAGGCTTCAAAAGGACAGAGGACTCCCATGGAGCATCACGCTCAGCAGCCGCCCACCAAGCCCCCTCACGATGGCAACAGTGCACGCGTGTGCAGAAAGTTGGGTGGGGCCTCACTGCAAGTGATGCAGCGAGCTTGAAAAGAACAACAATCTGTCTTAGAATGGCCAGAGTTACTACATAAGAAGCAAATGGACACCTCGTACGCTACTGCACTTCGAGGATCTATGTCCAAATTTCCAACACCTATTGCAAAGGCATGGAGAGGGAATGTATTCCTGAACGGTGCATCTAGCACCTCCAAGAATTACTTACGGAAGACGGAAGAATCCTAC